TTTTTTTGAGAAATTAAGGGAAAGAAACGGTAGATTGAGGCAGAAAAAAGAAAAAAAAGAGAGAAATGAAGCACATTTTCAAGAAGCTACACAAAAGCCATAATCAGGACGAGACGCCGCCGCCGTCTCCCTCATGTGCCACCGCTCATCAACGTACCATGTCCGGAAACTCTCCGACGAGTCCCTCCCTGTCATCGCCTGCTCCTGTTACTGTTCCGACGAGCTTTGGGAATACTACAGCAGCGTCGACTGTGTCGGTAAATAATAGTACCGATTACATGTTGTCGGAGGAGGAGTTCCGGGTTCAGTTAGCTCTAGCGATCAGCGCGTCGAATTCGGAGGATCCCGAGAAGGATCAGATCCGCCCGGCGACTCTGCTGAGCTTGGGCGGCCATCATCAGATGAATACAGGCAGGGATAGGGAGGAGGTGCCCCGCAGAGGATTTATCGAGACATTATTGGGTGAGTGTTCGTCAACTTTCTCCTCACCTATTTTGAGGTCGAATTGGATTCTGGTGAATTCAAGTTGGAATGGGCTTTGTAGTGTTGGTGCTGGTGGATTGTAGTGAATGAGCTTACTTAAATTAAGGGCTTTTGGTCTGTGCCTATAAGGAATTTTGAATTTCTGGTAATTAGAGCAAGTCACCATGGAATTGTGTCAGTATGGCCATTCAGATATATATATATATATATATATATATATATGATACCATTTTATTTTCGATCCCCTTTCTTTACCCATTCATTCATTATCTTTCCAAGTTTTTCAAAACCCAGTGACCCCCCTCTTTCTCAAGAAAGCTAGTGACCAACCCAATCAAGAAAACTTGATTTCCAAATCCCTGGTGATTTCTCCTAAAACGCCATTCTCGGCTTCAACAGGATACTCTCCAGTAGGGCTAGGTAGTAAAGAATTTCTCCTCTGCTAGGCTATTCAGGTTTAACTTTCTTACTCTCCACAGTGGTGTAGGTCATGAAAAACAATTATCTTTCCTTTTTTAAAGATCTTTTGTGAAAGAAGTCGAAAACAGCCTGAAATAGGAATCTCTTCATCTATATATAAGTATATGAATATAGAATAATGAGACAAACAAAAGCTACAAACTATTCTCTTTGCCAAAGATTTGTGTTTAAGCTAAACAACACATTAAAGAAAATAACTGGAAATATATTTTATACGTACTTGAAAGAGTGCAGATTACAGAGGATTTGAGCTGGTACAACCTTTGAGCAGACTCTCTCCTTTTCTACCTTCTATTATTTCTACTTCCTACTTCCTTCTTTCTACCTTCTGCTCTATCTTTTTTCAACCGTGACTTCTACTTCTACGAAGGTCTATTTAAAGAAAGAAAAACTAACCTGGGTTACAAAGTAACTGTAGTAAAAGTAACCTTAGTTACATTAAACTAACTATAGTTAACTAACCCTAGGGTTATTTACAGAGGTAACTGTAGTCGGTCATCTTTATCTTTTGGGAAAGATAAAAAGTAACCGGCTTTTAAGGAACGTGTCTCATGACAGTCACTTTAGAGTGAGGCATGCCTGTTCCTTTGTCTGACTTATTATCCCTCCATTTGATTTTCAAGATTTTCCCACCCAACTGAGTCAAGATCATCATAAAAGTTTATACCCTCTAGCTCATCTGGGTCATCATTGGGAAGGTCGTCATCCAAATTAGTGCCCCGATATTCGTATTGATCTTCACCTTTTTTATATTCCTCAGAGTAAATATCTAGTAGTTGAGTGTAACTGGTCTGAGGTGAGAAGGAAATCTCTCTTTGACTCTGACTATGAATAAACACATCAGTATCAAGATAAATTTTCTGAATACTGTCCTCAGTAAAGAGGGTGTATCCACCTGAAAAATCATCTCCCATGACCTGCATGTGGGCCATTGTTCTAGCTCTCCAGTGTCTGAGTTGTTTTGTGAGGGACTGAGTAATGGATGGCCAGGCCTGAGCGTCTTTGTAGAGAGGCAGTAAACTGCTCCTTCTTAAAATAATTTTGTGCTGTGCCGGGAGCAAATGTCTACCCTTCCATTCAGGGGCCTTGCTCTGAATCAATGCCTCAATGTAGTTGGGAGGCATGCTTTCTAAGACAGCAATGGCAAATTTTCTTCCAACAAGATCAGTATCCGCCATTTTTGTAAAGATTAATTGATAAAGAAAACCATAATCAAGGAGTAACTGTGGAGTTAACTCAATGATTTCCCCTTTATATAAAAACTGGATGGGTTCATAGGAGGATAGATCTAGAGAAACTCTGCAAATGTTATAGACGAGTTGACATTGACAGTCATACCTATCAAGTGGAATCCCATCTGCAGTTTCTCCTTCACACCTATTATACCTTTTGAGTTTTCCTTCTGTAGTAGAATAATAGGTGTCCCATGAGAAGCCTATACCAGATCGGTTAATACCATCTTCGGCTATTTGTTGAAGGAATTGTTGAATTACCTTCAATTTAGCATGGCCTGAAGCTTCTGCTTTTTGAAAAATTAGCTGTCTTGAATCATCTGGCAGCTCGGGTAAGGGAACATGTGGATTGAAATACATCCTGAGTTGCCTCTGAGTGTCATCCACTAATGGAATAGATGTAGAAGTTGAGGAGGATCCTTCGATCAAATATTGATTAATTCCCAGTGGGAGAACTAATTGTCTTCCACCCGCTAGTGGGGCTAAGGTGGTCTTCATGATTTCACCTGAAGGTTCCTGCAAATCTAGAGAAAGATGAGGGCTAATGAAAAAGCTGTCTCCAAGATACTGTTGAGCAAATTGGATAGCTTCTTCAATTAGATAAAACCCTTTATAGAGTGGTTTTCTAAAATCTCGTATTTGGAACAAGATCTCATCCCACTTCTTATAAACTCCAGGGGTTTTTCCCTTGATTAGAACATAATAATTAAACTTATTATATTTTTTCAAATATTGGGCTAAAGTTTTTAAATTGTTCTCAAAAAGGTTCAAATTGCCGAAGCTCTCCTGAATGTTGTTCAGAAGTTGATCAGCAACTGGATCCAAATTGAGCCCTTCTGTACAGGACCTAGCTCTAGAGGTGTTGCCTCTATTGCTGGTTTTGCCTGAAGTCGAGCGTCTCATTTTGATCCTGCACAAGAGAAGAATGAATATATCTACTTAGCCAGTCGGCTAGATAATTATCTTTACTTTTAATATGTTCAAATTTTACTTTAAAACCATTTCCAGTTATGATATTTACAAAATTCATCCATCTTTTAGAAGAAAGACTTTTTTCATTTTTCTTTTGAAAATATTTTACAATTGCCTCACAGTCTATTATAATTGTAAAAACATCATTTTGGATGAAAAGTCTAAAAGAATTTAAAGCATTTATAACTCCTAATATTTCAAAATCAAGAGAAGTTAAGGAATTTTTACCTTCTTTGTACAATCCACTAGAATATTTACAAATCTGTTCTTCTTTTTGAGATGAGAATTCCTTTTGTCTGACCAACAGAATTGCTCCCCATCCTTCACTACTACTATCAGTTTCGACTATTTTGTAGTCTGATTCCAATGGTAGAGTTAGAGAGGGTAACTTTTAACTTCATCTTTTATTCTTTTTACAAGTCTGACATCTTCACTATTGAAAAACTTTTGTCCTTTGGGACTAAGTTTTGCATATAATGGTCCAGTCAGTTTAGATAGATCCTTTATATACATTCGGGTATAGTTGAGTATACCCAAGAATTTTTGAAGTTCTTTAGTTTCCTCGATTTTGTCGGGAAAGTCAATAATCTTCTTAACTATGTGATCCTGCAACTGAATTTTTCCCTGTCCAATCCTCATTCCTAAAAATTCAATGTACTCTTTGGAGAGTTCCATTTTCTTTTTAGAAATTATAAGGTCATTTTTCAGGAATTCAGTGAAAACAACTTGTAGGTGTTTGATATGCTCAGTCTCAGTTTTGCTGAAGATGAGAATATCATCTATGTAAACTAAGACAAAATCAGAATAGTTTTTAAATATCTGATCCATCTTTCTTTGGAATATTGAAGGTGCATTTTTCAATCCAAACGACATGACTTGCCATTCAAAATGTCCTTCGGGATAGGTGAAGGCGGTCCATGGAATGGATTCTTTTTCCATTTTGATATGCCAGAAACCAGACTTACAATCAAACTTGCTAAAAATTTTTGAATTTTGAATGCAGTTGATTAGTTGGTCTTTATCTGGTATTCTATATGCATCTTCATAAGTGTTATCATTTAGCCTTTTATAGTTTATAACCATCCTAGCCTTTCCTCGTTTAATTTCTGCATGATTTCTTACCATGAATGCTGCAGAGGAATGTCTAGAACTAGAATGCTTTATAACTCCTAAGGCTAAAAGCTCTTTTATTTGAACCTCAAATTCTTGCCTGTCAAGTGGACTGTGATCCTTCTTGCCACAAGTAATTCTAAGTTCATAATTTATTATATCTAGTTTTGCTGTACATTTGTTTTGATCCCAATATTTGATTGGGTCTTCTCCTAAGACTTGAGTTTCATCAGCTATTCTAATTAACTCATCCAAGTTCATTTTTTTTTGTAATTTTTATTTTTTCTTTTGTTTTCTTCTTTCTGAAAGTTTGAAAGAGTTTTTCCATATTTACATGCACCGCTTTTTCATCATTAATTAAGTTATCAAAAAACTGATAATCTATAGAATCTTCAAATATTTCCAAAGTCTCTTATGAGGGATTTGGTGTATAATCAAATTCTAATAAATCATCAAAAAACTTTTCATCACTACTTAAATAATTACTATTATATTCAAAATGCTTATTTAATTTATTTTGGATTTTTTGGGGTGCTTTTTCTTCTGGGTTTGGAAGATTCATGACATATCTGTCCGTTGGAGTGTAACTGGTTCATTTTGCAAACTGTACTCCATCGGAAGAAATTGTCATTTGGCCCTAGAAGTGAGTGATAAAGTTTAGGCCAATTATGAAGGGATAATTATTTCGGATATTATGTACAATTACTTGAGGTAAGGTGTACTTTTCTCCAAAATTTCTTGATCCCCAGTCCCAGAAAGAAATTTTTGCATCCTTTAGACATTTATCATATTTGAGTTGAGTTCCATCCATTTGAGTTCCATAAACAGCTTTCATTGTTGAGACTTGAGAACTCGGGATTTCTGTTTCAAGGATGTGAGATTTAGATGCTTTTGTATCAATCATTCCTAAGAATTCTTTTGTTTCTTCGTTTTTGAAGGTGATTGAACACAGTATGCTGAGTAGGGTATTTGGATCTTTGGGATTTGTTGGAACACTAGCTGATAAAGTAGAGATTTGTTCTTCTTTATCTGCTGTTGGTTCATTAGCATCTTTTCCTTTGAGTGGAAGTTTTGCTAATTGGTTCTCCAGTTCCTTTGTTCTTTGGTGGAGAAATTTTATATGTTCTTCTAATTGCAAGATGTACTCATCCTCTTCATTGAGAGTTTTATTCATTGATTTCATTTTTGCAATAGATTAATGTTGAGCTTGAACGGCCTTAATTCCCTTTGTTCCAAATATTTCACATATTTCTTCACTAGTTACTCTATAATTGGTTGTGCCATTATGAGTTATTTGGCCAGTGAATCCTATGCAAACTAAAAGGTTTTTCTCTCCCTCAACCATAGAATAGTCTTTAGTCATGATTCCTATTTTTAAAAATTGTTTAAAGGCTTTTATATCCATTTGGAAATTGGGAGTAAAATAAGCAAATCCCCCTTGTTTAGATAGATCTATTTCGATAGATCCTATAAGGGATTGAATCATATCCTGATGTCTTGTGTCTAAAAGAGTTAAAAGGCATTTTGTACCTAAACCCTTTCTATGAAGTGTTTTGACTTCTATAGTGATTAACCCTATGTGTACCAATGAATATTTCATTCTTTCGAGACTAAAATATCCATTTTCACTTAACAGTCTTAGGGTAACACTATCACTATCTTTGACACAGGATATTTGAACTTCCTAATAATGCTGAAAGATTGATCCAGCACTAAACAGAGAATTGGGATTTTCATAAAGATACTTGGGGTTGACCAAGTCAAATTTATGAGTTTTGAATCTTTTTATTTATTCTTCAAGGTCTATTAAAGTTTCAACTTTTATAGATTCTTGAATTTGTTTTCCTTTGGAGAACATCCTAATCAGAGGGTTGCTGTGATTTTAGGTGATTCCATGATTTTTGGATTTTAAGGTAACACAACGTAATTTCTTGAAACTTTTAGTTCTTTAGCCTTTGTGTGGGATAAAGACGAAAGACTAGATTTTATTTGTTTAAGATCCTCTTTTACGCTAATGATTCTTTCTAAATCTATTATTTCACTTGCTTCCTGAAGAAGATCTTGTTTCTTAGTCTCTTGACCTATTTCTGCAGTTCTTAAGTGAGTGTCTTTTAAAAGATCTTTTATATTCCTTATTTCACTTCCTTATTTCACTTAAGATTTCTTCTTAGTTTTCAAGGATTCGTAGTAGCAAAATAATTTGGGTATTCTGCTGTCCTACTAATACCTGATCTTGGACTGCTAAGGGTTGAAAATTGGTTAATCCGTAGGGATTTCCTAATTTTCCTGCTTCTTTTAAAGCTTCTCTATAGTTTGAATTTTGAGTGAAAGAAGTTTCACCCATTCAACCCTAGAATTAATTTTTTAAGTTTTTGGACTTGTTTAAACAACTCTTCTTGATTTTGGATCAAGGTAGCTGTTTGATGACAGAGGTTTTGAACAAATTGATCTGGCCCTTTGTTACTCAGAAATTGAGAATTAATTAAATTGACTTTGTTTTTGACAAATTCAATTTGTTGTTGCAAGTAGTCTTGATTCTCAATTAGTTTCACAATATTTTTGTTGTAATGCTTTTCAAAGTTTTGGAACCTTTCGAGCACTACTTTCTCTTTTTCTTTTTATTTTTTATAATTTTCTAAAAAGTTTATAATTAGGTCTACAATACTATTTAACTGGCTATTATCAGAATGTAAATTATGACTAAAACCTGGAAAACTACACACTATATTATAATTATCTACTGTTGATATTATTATCTGTTGAGTTTAGATTATTTAGATCTAGCTATTTCACATCTATATATATTGGTGAAGAAGACTGTAACCTTGAGTATTCTAGCATCTTGCTTTTTTTGTGAGTTAATCTAGTGGAGAGAGCATGAGTTGGAGAAAAGGGCTATGATTTAAGGAAGTGATTACTTGGGTTATGGTACTTAATCCTTGCTCTTCTGATATCTGGCAGTGATCCATTTTTGGATGACGACAATTAATGTTTTGGAACACTTAATGCTGAAGCATTAATTTTAATTGGATTCAATAGCATTGAATGTGCATGAATTAGGTTTGGATTGCTTATCAGTGTTGGCAGTTGCTGCTGGTTGGTTTTGGATTGTTAGGGTTAATGCAATTTACTCTCAAATTAGGTAAAATTGCTGAATTGCAGCATCATGGAGTCTTTCATGCTATGAAATTGTAGTGGATGAGGTTGAACTAAGGATTAGTAATTGTGTTTTGGTGGTTAAAGCTTGGAGTTTGGTTCTTAACAACTCAAATGCATTTTGTATGTAGTTTTAGATTATATATTGCTGGCCAACAAATTTTCATTGCTACCATTTGGACTTGCATAATTTGTAGTTAAGAAAATTATGATCATCTTAATTATTTGAGTCTTGCTTTTTCAATTTTAGTAGCTGAGTTGGAATGGTTAAATTCCTTGATTACATACATTAAATTCTCAATCCTTGCTTAATTTGGGGGAGGAGTATCTCCTCTGTACTGTTCTTTTGTTTTCTATTTTGTGAGGCTTTATTCAATCAGGTAAGTAGTTGATTCGGTGATAGAAATGTGATTTAAAATCTGAAAATTTTGTTTATGTGGTTTAAGTTATGTTGAAGTGATAATATTGACTGAAAAGGCAGTTGTTGCCAAAGTGAGTTCACTTAAACAATTTAAAATGTAGAAAATTTTCTATTTAAGAATGCAAACAAAAATCTGATTTTTTTGCCAGTTTAAAATATATATTCTCCATGCTAGAATGTCTTTCAGGTATATTGAGATTTGAAACTTTCTTGTACATTGTTACTTCATGTTAATGCTTGACTGTAATTTGTTTACATATATTGCTATGCTGTACTGTTTCTGTAGTTATTCTATTTGGCTTGACTTCTGTTAGGTGTTTTAATGCACCAGGAGTACAGTGTGCTTGATTACGAAGAGAAAGTGGTTGGTGGTTTCTATGATGTGTATGGGCCTTCCACAAATTCAGCACTCGAAGGAAAATTGCCATCTCTTGCAGATCTTGAGACAAATGTTGGGAATTATGGCTTTGAAGTTGTGATTGTCAATCGAACAATTGACCCTGTCTTAGAAGAGTTGGTGCAAATTGCGCATTGTACTGCATTAGATTGCCCTGCTAGTAATGTTAGTGTTTTAGTCCAAAAGTTTGCCGAATTTGTTACAGGCCATATTGGTGGACCTGTTAAGGATGCTACTATAATGTTGGCAAGGTGGATAGAAAGGAGCACAGAGTTGAGAACATCTCTTCATACAAGTTTGTGGCCTATTGGGTCCATTAATTTAGGATTGTGATGAGTTAAATTTATATACATATTAATAGGGAATTTTTACTTTAATATTATTGATATTTGGATGAGCTTTATGGGATTTTCTTTGATTTTACATGGTTTTTATTTTGTGTAGGAAAGGATTTAATTGGAAGAAATCCTACTTTTTAGAAGTAAATTGAAAAGATCAGAGACTTGAGGATCAACTTGTGCAGAATCTAGAAGTCAGGAACCAAATCTGCTATTTTACCATTGAAGAAATTACAAAAGGAGACCAGAAACCCGACACGGGTGTAGTGTCAACACATGATCGGGGTGTCGACACCATACGTTAAACGTCCAGAATCAGATTTTGTTTCCGATTTTGTGTCAACACGTAATCTGAAGTGTCAGCATCATGCGTTCAGTGTCCAGTTTCCTATTTTGTTTCAAATCCTATTTTTATTCTAATTAAGGTTTCTAAAACCTTATAAATATCTATCCAAATTCAGAATTCAATAGAGAGTTTTGAGAGGCTAGTGGCAGCCCTCTTTTGGGTATTATTGGAGATCAAGATTGAGGTTCCATCAACAATAGAAGAACTCAAGATCAAGGAGTTCGATTTCCTCAAATTGGGTTTTATTTTTCCTTCGGCTTTTATCTATTGTTTGATATTTGAATGTTTATAACTTTGATTTCATATTTTATTCTTTTTGTTATGAATTGATTTATTCTATTAGGGTTATGATATAACCTAATCAATTTAATATGGATTTAGTGATTTTATGCTTTTAATTAAAGTTATTTACATGAGGAGTTTATATTATTGAACTTAATTCATTGGAAGTCTGATCACCTTTCAATTGATTTAGTGATTTATGCATGAACTCGAGAAAGAATTGCGTAGATTAGACCAATAATAATATAAACCGTGTGCTAGACTATGAGACCGAGAGGTAATTAGCTCACATGTGGTAGTGGAGGAAGAGAAGAGAGTTAGGAGCTCCTCCTTCTTAAGCTAGAGGTTTTCATAGAATTTAATGTTCATAAGTTTGTTTAAAATTACATAGAGATATTATTAATTTAACAAACAAGTGAAGGATTAACTTGATTTGAGAAAACTAGTTAATTAATTTAGTAAAATCCGCCATCACATGCAATAACACTCAACAATTTGGTAATCCAGAATTTATATTGATTGATTATGGTAAAGTCAATGCCTTAGTACCTCATATTTTGGTCAAGTTTAATTTAATTGTTATTTTTCTTTTATTATCTTTTTAGTTAAACTTTCTTCCCATTTGGTTGTTCAAATAAATTTGGATTAATTATTTTGATACTTAGTTAAACACAATTCTCATGGGTTCGACACTCTCTCATCATTATATTACTTGGAGCGACTAGTACACTTGTTAGGGTGATTTTAGTGCATCAAGTTTTTAGCGCCGTTGCCAAGGATTGTTGATTTAATTAATATCAGAGTTGGTTAATTCTAGCTTTAATTTGAACGTTTTCTTTTCTTTTATTTCTTTACTTTGATTTTTTTTTTTTTCTGTTTTCTTTGTTTTTGTTTTTACAGGTCTAACTATGAATCAAGTTGCCATAGGTACTTATGTGAGTTATCATTGGCTTGCGCCAGAGATAAGAGCACAAGTTGAAGCAATTACTATCAATTGGGATGCAGAACTTGACAATGATGAACTTGAACGAATTCAAGCAATCATTGAAAGGATCGAATTAAGGAAGGCTCGAATAGAACGATCAAATATCACTTGTGAATGGTGTGGATTAGACCATTTTAGTTCTGATTGTTTATTTAAACGATATAACAAGTGTGTTGATTTTTCTTGTGAGTTTTATAGTCAGCAATATAATTCTTATCCCAATACATGCCATTTTGATCCAAACGCCTCATGGAATAATGAAGATATATTGGAGCCACAATCAGGGTTTCAAGCTCCAGAAGAAGAGACATGTTTGAATAAAAATCTGGAGGTCCAATCAAGTCATTTGCTCAACTTAGTTGCTGAAGAGATACAAGGTGAGTTACCTAGTGCAACAATGAAAAATCAAGAAGAAGAGGTAAACACTTTACTCTTGGAGATTGAAGGACAACTTGAAGAAGTGGAAAACATGCCTGCAGAAGCTAAACAAGAGGATGTCCCTAAGGAGGAAGAGGAAAAAGCTCAAGTGTCATTTGAAGTGTTCAATGGGGAGTCTCCTTTAACAAAATCTGATTTTAATGATTATTTTGTTATTGATATGGTTGATGAGATTTT